GCCGTTCCTCGTTTCATTTTAGTCAGGGTCGCCTTCAGGATGTGCAGCTGGAACGGTTGATTCAGCTTCGCTTTCTCTGAACCTGCATACAAGTACACGGGCCCGATAACGCTATCGCTTTCCACCTTTAAAAGCTAATATTTTTTTTTATTGTTTCAATACAAGATATATTTATTTTAATTGTTTTTATTGCAACCAGGACATTTTTATGGCCATGTGAATTGATGCAACGTCCAGGACATTTTTATGGCCATGTGAATTGTGCAATGTCATCCAAATATAAAAAATGGCCGCATCTCCACGTGGTGAATGATGTTGTTTGGAGGAAAGCTCTGGCGGTGCTGATGGTACTGATTTTGCTTATAGGTAGTGCAGATGGTGCTGATTTCTTTTTATTGCTCATAGGTAGTGCTGAGTTCCGGGTAGCGTTGGTATGGAATGTGTGGTATGGATCGTGGTTATATACGCATTTGAGCATTTGACCGATTCGCCCTCTGGTCTATAAACGATGAGCCGATGCATGCAAAGTTTAACGCGATTATATACGCATTTGACCGCAGCCGCCCTTCCTGTATAGATGTTGAGCGGCTAAATGCAGCGTTTCATCCATGACATTCCCAGCTCTTGAGGGACTACCACATCTCAGAGCCCGTACTCGTCCCGCAGTCGTGACCGAGTGGTTAAGGCGATGAACTAGAAATCCATTGGCGTCTCCCCGCACAGATTCAAATCTTGTCGACTGCGCAAACATTTTTTTTCTTTTGTAAGAAGACAGATGGGTAGGCAATCGATGTGAGGACGGACGCCGGACGGAGAAGGCTAGACCCTAAGGACCTTCGCCCCTAAAAAGGTTGCGTTTGTGTTTCACATGTTTATAATCAAAATTCTCTGAAGTGTGTTGTTGATATTGGGTGCTATCGGGCAGAAAACCATAGCGAGCAAATTTCTCCCGTGGAAGCGTCTGATGAGATAGTGACACACTCACCCACATTGTTTCCCGGCGTGATTGTCGACAACGCCACCGGCCGCCATAGGGTACGTTGTTTCACTTTTTAATGCATATTTGCATTAAGGCCAGTCGGCTTGTACATTAATATGAATTTAGACTGTATATGTGTAAGCGCTCTTTGAGTGATACTTCCATGGAATTGCGAGTTTGATACAGTTTGAGAGATTCAATTGCGTTTCACCTGAACATGTGGAGGTTTATGCGTCGAAACCTCCTGAGCTTGAACACTCGGGGAATTTTTAAATACTCGGATTTCAGTAGGTGCCTGGATTAGGCAGGTGCTCGTAACAGAGCATTCGCTAAGTCGAATCGTCAGGGCTTGTTTATATTACGAAGCTATTTGCCTCTGTAAATTTCACTTTACTTGTTGGGTGAGAAGTGCAGAAGACTAGACGATTAGGAACTGCAAACTGGTTCTAGAGATCATCCGCGGTTATTTCGAACTTGTATTGTTTTTATAATTACTGTAGTAGAGCGGTAGTTGTACAGCAGCTGTTAAACATTTACACACATTTTTAAATGTGGTGTTTGTAAGAAAGATGTGGCAGGCAAATGCCTTTTCTGTAGAATTTTTTATTTTTTTTTTCACATTTTAGTGAGGTATTGATAGAGTTACTGCAGGTTCTATTTGTATGGTATTTGCAGCGTGCTCCAAATCTGTACTTCGAGCCTACTAAATCACTGATTTACTGTCTTACACACTTGAGCATATATCAAGATATTTATTTCATAAAATGAGCCCGATATGGTTACCCATGTGGTGTCCCCAGTGACCATTATCATAAGGTACGCGAGCAGATATTTTTCTTTGTAAATATCTATTTTCAACGTGAATGATTAAAATTGTCACAGTGGTCGGCTTTCCACGATTGGCCAAATTATGAGTATGACGTCGCGAAAGAATTTCTGATCGACGGAAATTAGAGTAATGCAAGAACTAAATTGTGACTCTTTTGGCAGTGTTGGTTTAAGAGTGCCATCAGTTCAAGCTTCTGCCATGCTAATTACAAACACCAAAGATCTTGTTGCTCGTAAGGTAATGATGTCAGCAGACGGAACCAAAAGAGGGCGCCATTAAAGCATCTCTCCGGAAATATTTTGTGTCAGGTAAAGAGTTTAGGGAAGCTCCTCCCATTTCTTTCCATGTTAACAAAACGAACGCTGGAGACGAGGTCGCCTTCCCTCCAGCGTTCGCTCTGCTCAAGTCGAAATTGGTATGAGGAGCTTCCCCTGAACTCGTAACCTGTCACTGACTCTAGTATGCGGAGGGCAAGTTCGTCTGCTTCTTGCGCAGGGGGTAGCGGTGATGTCAGAATGACGAGCCCTGATTGGCTGATGGCGACCCCCTATCTGAGCGTCGTCTGCTCCTTGGCAACGTCGTCTGCTCCTTTGCAACGTCGTCTGCTCCCAACGTCGTCTGCGTCTCTCTTGCCTATCCTGCGACTTTCAGAAGTGCAGAGGCCAGATTCACGAAACGATCTTACGCCAAAAGTGTGCGTAAGACATAACTTAAGAACAAATTCGTATTCACGAAAGTTTTGTAAGTTTTGCGCAGGTTACGACGAAATCCTATGACAGCTCCGAAGTTGTCTTACGCACTTCTTACGATCAAATCAGCATGGCCGACAGCGTCGCCGTCCGGACGACCCACGGACGTTTATTTTTCTACGTGCGCTTTTCACGCGTCCCGACTTCAAGCAGCAAGAAAAAAGTAAAAAGTACTTGAAACAGACCACGACGAACAAGAACGCTGGATCCACAAACATCCGGGAAAAGCTCCAACGGCCACGATTCCACCGAACGCGACCAAGCGAGCACGGCGGTTAGGCCTAGCAGGCACTCCTTGACTCGGCGACCGTCTGCCCACGACCGGCTTGCGTGCTGAATGCAATATGCCCACGCGACCCTTGTGAACCCTTCCCGTATTATACTTTGATCGCTGACCTCAGTTTTAGATTAAGAGCTCTATTTCCTCCTCTTGTTATCTCCCTGTTTCCCGAGGCGACGGTGACTCTCGCCGGTAAAAAAGCGGTGAATCTCCGACAGACGCAGGAAAGGTAAAGCAGCCATCGTTTCGACTAGCAGACGTAATCCTTCCTTGAACTTTTGCACCAATCAAAACACACTTTTTCGCAACAAAATACTTTTTTCCATACTGTGCACAAAAAATATGGGCACCAGACACATCCCTCAGACAAAACAAAACAAAAAATCACGGCACGCGCTTTGTGTGCGCGCGTGTAAAGCAGACGACGTTAACTGCGCCAACCCGCCGACGCCGTTAAAGAATGAGGGGTCGGCGGAAGGAGAGAAAAGGTATTTGGGAGGGAACTTGCGGACACTAACACGCTCACTCTCGGTTCTTAGCAAACAAACCTCGGCGCCTCGGACACCTCGCCAATGAGTCCTTTGACTTCCCTCCTTGATGCGCGTCTGCTACTTGTTAGACAAAAACAAGGTACCGTTCGAGTTATTTCGTCAGCCCTCTCTGAAAGGCGAAGTCGAGCTCGCTCGTAAAGACCTGCACTTCCGAAAGTCGCAGGAAAGGTAGGACAGACGCAGACGATGTTGCGAGCAGACGACGTTGCAGAGGAGCAGACGACGCTGAGTTAGGGGGTCGAGATCAGCCAATCAGGGCTCGGCGTTCTGACGTCACCGCTGCTTCCTTTCTCATGGGCAGAAGACGAAAATGAGCCCACTTGCGAGGCGTATAGGATTTGATCAATATTTCCTTCAACTCAGCATTAAACTTAAGATATAGGTGTCTACGCCACGGGTGACAAAAGATACATATGCAAGGGATGGCAATGGATGGCAAGTAATATTTCAATATTTTTTAAAGGTCGCCCTGCAGGTCGTCCTTGAGGTCCGCCTAGAGGACACCTCATGGATGAGGTCTAAGACGACGTCAATGGCGACGTTTGAGAGGACGACTTCAAAAACCTCTAGAACGACCTCCAAGACGACCCTTAGCGCGACCTCACGGACGACCTCTAGGACGACCTTTAGGAAGACCTGAATGACGACGTCGAGTGCTACGTCCTAAGGGACGACGTCAAAGAAGATGTCTAGAACAACCTCGAGGAGACCCTCTAGGGTGACCTCAAGGACGATTTCTAGGACGACCTCAAGAATGGCGTTTACGGCGACGTCGAGGACAACGTCTGGGACGACATCTAGGACCTCTAGGATGACGTCGACGATGACGTCAAAGTCGTCAGGTCCTTAAAAAAGGGTGCGTATGTGAAGGGATTTTTCCCTACTGCCACTCGCTCGGTATATCCGCGGCGCAATGGGGAACACGCACAGAGAGCGGAAATGGTCTACTGCGCATAACTTCTGCCCATGGCGAGGCCAGGAAGGGCCACGAAAGTGGAGAGGGTGGTTGCGGCAGCTAAAGAATGCTATCGCATTAACATATTTTGAAGGAACTACAATGCACATTATAAAGCTTATAAGCAGGCGGGCTGGTTTAGGTTGCACATCGTTAAGACCGGAGACGAGCGAAATGAATGGGGACAGGACAGGACATACGTCTCATACTCAGCTAACAACTTTTACTGAAAACATCGCTTTTATACGTCTTCTCCCGCACCGATATCCGGACAACTGCGCACTTCCCATGGCCGACCGTTATACAATTTCTACACAAAACCGCCCACTTAGCCAAAACACACCTCAATAGGACGTTTAAGTGACCTCAAAAGAACAATGGTAACAAAAGCCGCAAGGCACCAACCCTGAACCCAGAACAACTAGTTCTCACACAAAACGAACGAATCGCTATTATAACACGGCCCCTTTAAACACAGAATTATATTGGATCAAATAACGATTCATAACGACTGTTTTATAAGCGTATGTGTAAGCACTTTATTTTATCGCCCATAATTATTCTTAAAAGAAAAAGAGTGTCAGCAGCCAGGAGGTAATGTTGTGGTTGTAACTTCTTCCGTCGGTTCTCACTGGGACGACTCTCCTGAACTTCTTTCTATTGGGCCTTAACGTTCTTCTTGCACCACGGGTGATACACTTGCTGCGTGTAGGATGAATCACCTTTCCCGCATGCATTACCATATACAGTCTTGCAGTTCAGAGGGACACCATCCTCAACTGCGTTTTCGTGAAGATAGAGCTCACAGGCGTGCCCTATAGAGAAAATTAGTACTGTTATGCTTACTAAGAACACCGCTGGAAAGGAACTTGCCATCTATGAGTGGACAAGCATTAAGCTGTTCTTTACGGCTTGCCTATAAAAATCCACTGGTTTAACACATGGACGTCTATAATGTACACATTGCAACTTTACGTTTTCAAGAAGGAGAACGTATTGCCGCCAAGGTGGAAACACTGCATAACTGAAGGGAAGAGATAACACATAATAAATTAGTCTATAAAATGCGTTAAGATTTTAAGTATTTTATTATCCCTGAGTTGAATTTCTATCGCATACCTTGACGCTGGAGGTTTGGTCTAACGCCTGACACTCAAGAAAATTTATTTTAAAACCCAGAGTCTTAACTCGGCGCAAATATACAGGTGTTTTTGGAAAAGCAGGCGAAATCGCTCCTGCCAAAACAACGCATCGCACAGAAAAAGGTTAATGTCGTAGTGGTTTGTGCTAGACTATGCCAAAGAGCCAATTAAGCAAAATAACTAGCGTTCAGTATAATTACGTAATAATTTACCTTTCATTAGCCTATTTCTCGGTCATTAGCTTGAAAGCTATGGTTTCAATTAGAATCTTGATGCAAAGCATTGAAAGCTACTAAATCCACCAACATTAGAATTATATAAAGTACGCGCGTCATTTTACGGTGTTCCAAAAAATTATTATTATCGTCGCGTTTAAAAATTTATATATCTTATCGAAGTGCATCTCCGGCGCCAGCAATCCCGCTCCCTGTGCCCAAAACGCACAACGTACGTGCGCCTTCACGCATCGGACGTATTACCGGCTAGATAAGAAAGCCTCCAGACTGTCACATGAGGTTTGCCTGTTTGACGTCGGTGCCAGTGTGTCGACTCACCTTTGCGTGAGACCCGTGCCGGCGCACGAGCGTTGCACGTTTTGACTAAGGGGAGCGGAATGCTGGCACGGAGATGTGCTCCGATAGAAAACCAAAACCTAGAAACGCGTCCAAATTGAGCATTATTTCGGAACGCCATAAATGATACTGTGCGTGTCTTATATTATTGTAATGTGGGTGAATTTAGTAGTTCTGGGTGCTTCGCACCACGTTACTGATTATAACCACACCTTTAAAATTATTAATTAAGCATTTACTTTCGGACAAGTAATTCTTTATTTATTCTTTATTTATCATATTCCTGCAGCGCCATCGGGCATTATCGCAGGGAACGAATAAACTTGAAAAAAAAAGCATTTCTGAAATCGCTGCACACACAATCGCACTGGGCAAGGCATTCCACTCCTTAGTTGTTTTAACAAAAAAAAATATTTTTTACCCAATTCCGTCCTGGTGCGGTATCCTCTAATCTTATGAATGTGGTCTTTTCTTTTTAAGATATAATTTGGTGGTAATAAGTAAAATGAGCTATTAGTGCCAGTTTTATTGTTATAGATGTTGCATAAAAACTTCAAGAGCAAATGTCTTCGTCTTAATGCTAATATAGAGCATCCCAGCCCTTTTATAATGTCGGTTAAACTCTGACAACGGCCTTACCGCACCAAAACGAAACGAGCGGCACAACTCAAAATTCTTTCTGAAGCAGCGATGTGGTTTTGCTGATAAGGATCCCAAACGGTGCAGGCGTACACTAGCACTGGGTGTACATAAGGCAGATAGGTCAGCTCTTTGATAGCTTTAGTTGATTTCTTTAAATTTCGTTTTAAAAATCCAAGCGCACTGCCGGCCCTCATAACGACGTCGTTAATGTGTGCGTTCCAGGTGCAGTCAGCTGACAGAGTCACGCCAAGATATTCAACTGTTTGCTTTTTTGTTACGGTTTCATTATTCAGTTGGTAACATGTTTCAACTTTTGTTTTGGTTTTGCGGGTAAAACTAGCGTGGGCACATTTTTGAACGTTTAACTCCATCTTCCAATTTTCACACCATTGCTCTATTCGATTCTGATCAACCCGCAGCCGCGTGGAACTCCCCTCGTCTGTTATGCATGTATAAACAACACTATCATCTGCAAACAATTGTACCTGTGAATTCACAACCTCATTAATATCATTAACGAATATTAGAAACAATAATGGACCCAAAACAGACCCTTGCGGTACACCAGATGTTACCATTACAGTATTTGAAGTTTTACCATTTAAAACAATACGTTGAAGACGTGATGGCAAATCTGCTTTAACCAATTTTGAATAGTCGTGTCAAAATTCAAGCGCTCTAATTTGTATAATAATAGTTCGTGTGATACCGTTTCGAACGCTTTTTTTTTTAATCTAAGAAAACACAATCAATCTGTTCGCCTCCGTCAACCCCCTTCATCAAATCATGATAAAGCTCAGTTAGTTTTGTAGTAGATGAGTATGCCTTTCGGAACCCATGTTGCGAGTCAAAGAAAAAATTATGACAGTTTAAATGCTTGATAATGTGACAATATAAAACATGTCCCAGTAATTTACAGCATATATATGTCAGTGAAATCGGTCTGTATTTCGTAATTTTGTTTTTGGGCCCTTTTTTGTGCAGAGGCACCACGTGTGCCACTTTACATTCGTCTGGCAATGAACCATCATTCAACGATTTGTTATATACTACAAAAAGGTTTAAAGCGATCGCATCTGCGCAACGTTTTAAAATTATTGGAGAGATCCTATCTGAGCCTACTGCCTTAGCTTCATCCATATGTTTTAGAACTTCCAACACACCTCCTATAGCAAGTTCAACTGGTGGCATTACACTGAACGTGCCCTGTCGATGTTCTCAGGAGGCAAAAAAAAAATGATTGAAAATATTAATTTGAAGGCTTCGGAGTTTTGCCAGTCATCGGTAATTATTTCGTTATTGACCAGCACGTCTCCTATCCCAATCTGATTATTGCCTCTGCGCCTCATGTACTTTCAGAACTGTTTGTTGTTTGCTTTCATCCCGTCCTCCAGCCGTTGCAGATGATTTTCTTTGGCTTCCTTCATCTTTATTTTATACAATGACGTAAGTTCTTTTAGCTTATTTAGATTTCGAACCGAGCTCTTCATTTTATACCGTGCTACACATGCTTTCGAATGTTTATCAGCCGCAGTAGGCTACCGGTAATCCATGGTTTTTCTCTATTTTTTAACTTCGACGAGTCTATGCTTGGAACGTATTTTTGAGTTAAACTGATAATTCTCTGTTTAAAGACTACCTATATGTCATGAACATTCATCTCCTCAGCAAGGGATTCGAAGAAAAGCAAATTGTTCGAAAGCTCAGAACTGATCCCTTCATAGTCACCTTTTTCATAAAAGAGCACCTTTCTACCCGCACTCACTTTTTTGCGCGAAACCTGAAAGTCAAGATTTGAGACCACAGCACTGTGGTCACTGATACCGGGTATGACATCAGTTTGTCTAACAGCGGTAGGGTAGTTGCAGAGAAACAAGTCAAGTGTGTTTTGATTCCGTGCAGGTACAAGAACACGCTGTTTGTGTGGTACCGTGTGGTACCAAGATTCAGCCGACTCATGGTACCACATTCGCAAAGTTTCACGCCCCATATTACATCCGGTAGATTAAAACCACCTCCCAGCACTACGCAGTCATTCGAAACACTGGATACTAGGTCCTGTAGTACCTCTAGGACAGCTGGGTCAGAGTTAGGGGGTCTGTAGAACACTCCAGCGGTGAATTCCTTGTTATCAGGCAGCCCTTTGGTAATTACTTATAAGTAATTATTTACAAAATTACGCTGAACGATAATCATATTTCTTAATGGGCCCTTTGGCACAAACTCCTATGGCATTAACCAATGCGTAGATGCGTGCAAGGCGTAGTTTTCGCAGGTGCGATTTGGCCCGCGTTTCCAAAAACACTCTGATACTTTTTTCCGACTGATCACACTGTCAAAAAAGTAGAAATGATAAGTTCAGTTTCCACTCCTGAGAACTTCGATTGTTCTGATGATGTACGGGCAAGTGTGTTCTAATATTGAATGCTGCTTTTCAAAAACACCCGGTAGGCAGCCTTTCGCTATGGTGATGACACAAGGTGCCAACTCGTAAAATTATTCAGCAGTCTTACAAACCAAGTGAGCCTTTTTTTTTTTTTGTCAAGATCAGTAACATATAAACATATTTTTGTTTAAGTTATATAAAATGTTATATTCTAATTTTTGCTTTCATCGCCCAAGATACTATTGCAACAACTTCTGCACTTCAACTACTTGTTGTAGCCTGCAGCTACTTGCCGGCAGCGAGGCTAGCAATTACTTTGTTGGCTTTTTTGTTTTTCATTCTTGCCTGCAATCGCAAATTTTTAAATGTCTAATCATTCTGTAAGCACAGTTGGATGAGTCATGTTTGCATTATTTGAAGTTGATTGAATATTTTTGTACCATTCTGCGTCAACGTTTCAGGGTGATTTTTTCGAGGGTCCTTAATGTCTACTCAGTGCCACCACCGTGCACATGGTGTTTTATCTGCTGTCTTTGTCTCACCTCGTGACAGTCCTTAACAATGTTTACAGCAGGTAAAGGTAGTCAGATACTTAATTTTAAATTCTTGTTTGCATGGACACTTAAAATGGGTCTCTTTATTTTTATATTTGCTTCGTGTCTGTGATGTTCGTGCATTTCCGAGAGAAAATTGAGGGTATACTTGGTGTAAATAAATTAGTGTAAGACACACACAGAGCTCGCATATGTGTTTTTTTGGTGTGTTCTTTTTTTGTGTCTCCTTCCCTAATTGTGTGCTGTTTTTCTCATTGGTATCGAAATAGAACAAGCTTTCAATTTTATTGTGACAGATCTCTTTGGCAAAATATTTATATATTCGCCGAAGTTCGGCATTCGGCAGTTAGTGCTGGCAATCATGGAAGTGTGAAGTTGATTGTGGTGCGAAGACACTACTCACATGCTACAGTAGTTCTACCCCTTGACTCAGATTTGTTAGTCACCTAAGGAAATCATGGTGACAAGCTTAATCATGGATCGTGAATACAAAGTGCTTACTAAGCTACGATTACCACACTCCATGGGATAATTTGGTTGTAGTTAGCAGTGATGTAAATTTACTATCGACAGTGTTATCGATAGTTTCTTCGCTATCGGTCGTACATTCGACTACCGATAGCACTCTCCACAGTCGACTATTGATAGTCAATTATCGATAGCGCTATTGATAGTCGATAGAAATATCGATAGTCGGCTATCATGAAAATCAAGAGCATAATATCAATAGTTGACTATCGTGAAATTGTTTATCGTCGAATATCAATAAAATAGCGGTATTAAACTATCGTAATGCTATTGATGGGTTTTTATTCGGTGACGGACGAAGAACGTCCAGGAAATGTCGTGTAGCTCGGAGAAAATGCAACTGCATTAGGGACTTCATCATAATTATCGAGGAACGATATTAACCTATTGGAAACAATCACAAAACGGTAGGAATTCTTAGAAACTATTTACAATATTGTATTAGACTAGATATTGTATACTACTAAAAAATTGTGAATAGAAAATATCAACTTGATAGGCTGTTGAAGAAGTTTGTTTTTTGCTGTTTAGAGTGCTCTCCTGGGTGTGCCCATTGTTTTTTATGAGCTCAATCAGATAAATGAATATTTCTGTAGCCTCTGATAAGTAAACTATATATGTGTTGCATAAATCCCGAACCCGGCTTGAATACAAAGCTTACGATGGTGATCAAATGTACACTGTAGGGACACGACTTTACCCGCATGAAAACAACGGTGTGGCTTTCTTTTTTCTTTTTTTTTTCAGAACAAAGAGGTTTCGAGAATGAAAGAAAACAGTATTTTCTTTCAGATTCACAAAATTTTTAACTGAAATATTGCTTCGTTGACGGCAATATTGTTACTTGAATCACAAAAATAAATTTCGTTTTTATCATTTGTTTTTGATTCAGCTAACGTCGTGTTCCCAAACTAACAGTATTTAAGAATTGGAAAAAAATAAAAGCATCAGTTACAATGTTTTCTTGGTAGAAGCATTTTCTCTGGCATGTTCAGTTTGAAGTCAGCACTACAAAAGTTCTGTTACATTAATTTAAAGAGATATATTTATTTAGAGGTTAAGGGACGGCCTCTGTATTTTAAGTTGTTTTTTTTATACCAACAGCGGAACATCAAGTAACTTTGCCAATATAAAATAAGATGTTATTTTATTTGAATTGGATGTAATGTTTTTTGCGAGAAAGATATACGTTTCGCTGAGATTTAGGGAGCACAGCAATCTAAACTTTTGTTACTATTACGACAACATTTTTGTTTCCCCGCATCCAGCCTAAGCTCGCTGAGCGCGGACGGAATAAACGAAGGCGTACAATGTCTCCAAGCTCCAGCAGTCTTCGTCTTTTGTTTCTGCCTAATCCTAAACTAATAAAATAATCTTCTAGACAAGCGTCCAAAGAAAAGCTGAGAAAAATACGGGGAGGTTTTCTTTATTTTTTTATGAAAAAAGATCTCTTTTGTGACTAGCCCAGTCCGAACTGTTAAGAACCAGCACCCGCGGTGCCGCCTGGAATCATAAAATATCCACATTTTAGTTTTAATTCAGCTGCGAAATCCCCTTGAAGCCTTCAGGCGTTAAGAAGGACAAATATTTTTATATCCAAGATAACATTTCATCAAGTGTAGATTATCCATTGAAAATAAAAGTTTAGATGTTGAGTGCGAATATTCAAAAACTTATTTCCAAGATCAGTCCATGACTGCAAGGACCACATTGGACGTCCTGCAGAGCTCTTTGACCAGGCATCGGCCGTCGAGAAGTGCCTGGCCATGGGTTAATCAGCCGTCGGTTGGCCGTTCATGTATGTGCTGCTTAGGTTTCTACTGGAACAAGTCACAAAAACTTCCGATTCGACGCTCTACCCTTTTCAATAAATCTGTTACATTTCTTTGAGTGTTATTATCTCTTATTTTTATAATGTACTTCTCGTTTCAATATTATTTTATGTATATTATACTTTTGTGAAATACTTGTGCTTTGGAACACGGTTTTTAATATATGTGGGAAAAACTGTTATTTTAAAATCCCCTGTAGTAATGTCGCCTGGGCGATCTGGGTAATATATAAATAAGAAACAATAATATTTAATAAATAAATAGAAAACCTTGATGGAGCGACCAATTTCGATGTTTTAAGGCGCTTAAGGTGCTGAACGCACCTTAATGATTCTAGGTTTTTTTTTTTTTTTCAATTTACGTATATATTTTTTTAAAGCTGAGGAAACTAAGGAAAATAAACTATTCTCACTCACCGTTGTCTACATCCAGAACTCTTAGAATATCGCATTTGTCAGAGTCAGTGTAAATCAACTGGAATCTTTTTCCACTTGCGGCATCTTAAAAAAAAAAAGATTTCCAATTAACTACGCCTGTGAAATTCCTCGAGAAGCATGATGGTATCACTTAGTGACGGAATATATCGCTTGTAATTATAAAGAAAATATATTCGTTTATATTTTTCTTGTGCAATAAGCTATTTAGTTGATTCCTCTCAAATTGACACTTTCTATCTATTCTAGAGATTTATTGATAATAACGTTATTTCACCTTTTATAATACTTGACAATCTTAACGCTACTCGACATTCTTTCAAAGACAACGTTGACACGTTTTTGTAATTTTTTGGCGTGGCATAATATGCTTCTTGCGAATCGAGAAATTAGGTGCTTCTGGAATATAATCTTCAAGAAATGTCACTGAAACCCGCATATTTTTGTGTTCTGTTGAAATTTGTGCAGCTCAAGTGATTTCATGTCCATAAAGGAAATCGTAGGGCACAACATATCGGGTTATCAGTGAAGAATCTGGTTTAGTTGCGCTACATTTTATATTTAAAAATACTTATATACAAGCATCCAATTGAAATGTCTGTCACAAAGACTTTAGTCGTGACCTCCCTTGTTTGAACTAAGTCTTCTGCTAATGGGCCTTTTTAGCTCTTTCAGCCGATCGGCGCTTTGCATGCGGCTAGCTGAGGTATCCACGTCTCCATTAAAACAGTGAAAATTGCTTAGTAATAATATTATTGAAGTATACTTAGAGCTACTGGGGCCTCTTTCAAATTGCTTAGATATTTTTTCTAATCAAGATTTAATTCGCTGCTCCTATGATAGTAGACAAAATTGGGATTCAACATGAGCTGTAGAGTCATAAATGCTCAGTACAGCTGACACCAAGGAGCGGTGGAAAAGGCACCAGGCACAGGGCTTGTCACGCGAGGAATGCTGTTTTGAATATCTGCCAAATATTAGCTTAGTTGATCCAATCTACTTCAGTGACTAACACCGACATAACTCTAAACATGGATAGGTTTTGACCCGACAAGGTGAAAAAAGTTTAGTCTGGAGCCACAATGAAAAAATATTAAAACGAAAAATTTACATTGTTGCTTTCTAGTGCTGCTCTCTAACTGTCTGCAGAATACTGTTCGGTCTTTACTAATTTAACTTGTAATTGAGTTACTTGGGTTGGAATGGTGGCTCAACACTAAATCCTATGATATTCAACTTACGTGTGCCTGTCTTGCCTGTGCACGCACTATTTTTTGCTATATTATTTGGTATAATTATCATTATAAAGAGTCCCCGAGGAAGATAAACTTTACGTAAAAATAAATTGACTTCCTCCTCAAATAATAAGCAACTGGCGCACTGTAGGGGTCTGGTGGCCGATGAAAAAATTAGCCTGGTCCGGGATTGAACCCCGGAATCTCTCCAAGCCTAGCGGAGCCCTTTATCTACTGAGTTAGCCAGGAGCTGGTAGTCAGTAGAGCAAACAGATGCTAACAGTTGTCACTAATATCAATCCTAGCCACCGCAAGGGTAAGAACAGTCACTAGAAATGACACAGTGAAGGCTCTGCTTTGCAATATGGGTCTTGTAAATCAACGGTAGTACCGCAAAGCTACTAATCAGCTAGTCATCATTCGATGCTTCATAAAAGAAATTACTTCGACGCTGTGCCCGAAATTTGAGGCAGACGATTAGCCCTTAATATGAGAAGGGATTATAAGATATTTAAATCTCATAAAAAATATTTATTTTACGTAAGCGAGCATCTGATGAAAGCTGGGTTTGACTATTTTCTTACCTTTATATGGGCTTGTACGCATTGCGTTGTTATTTTGTCGTTCGGTGGCATGCATCTCTGTTTTATATGGAGTCGCGTAAAATCTCCCCGTTGTTCTGAAGAGAATGCACACAGTGGTCAATGTCTGCAAAATTTCCTCACATATTATATCAAATGCTTAACTAGCTTACTTTGTGCTATTTTCTGTAGTTCCCAATCTATATTCCTGGACAAATTCGTAATCACTTCCATTCGGTTGCTTTTTGCTCACTTTCACATACACACAAGCGTCGTCCCTTGTATATGTTCGATAGTACAACCAAGAATCTCGATCAGGGTTATTCAGAGTCTGAAATTAAAAAAAAGTCAATCTTGTACGTGTAGTCAACAGATTATGATTTACACTTTTGAGAACGATTTATATCACCGCCTATTGCCGCGTGCATGGTCAAGAGGGAACGCTTCTCCATACTTCTAGGAGATTCGCGTTTACTTTCCCCCCGCACGTACATTCACCGAAAATGTCGCGGATAGAAAAGGATCGTCAAACGTAAAACTCCAAAGAAAGGTTTAACCGGTGAACTTGTGCAAGAAATAAATTAAAGAGCGCCGAGAAAGCAGCAGCGAACTTTGGGGTGTCGGCGTGACAGCTGGATAGCGCGTGAGTCCGAGAGTGAGTCGTCAAGGCCACGCTGGGCTCCTTATCTACTGCTAGTGAGGATGCGCACCGCTAGGCATTTGTGTGCACAATTCGAGGGATCATTTCCGGATGCCATTAAGCTAGCGGGATGGAGGGTGTGGTTGCAGCTTTCGGCGCCTTGTCAGCTTGCAGGTGAACGGAATGCACCTGCACTCTTTCTCTTGAATTCGAGATTTAATTTTTAGAAAGACTACCATAACACCGGCGTATGAGAAAGAAAAATTAGTGTTGCAGTACATTTTCGAAAAAAATACCAAAATTGCTTGTATTATTTTCTGGATTAATGTGCGCAAAAATTAACATGAAACTAATTCGTAACGCAACAAGTAAAGTAATCCGTTACTTTTTAGCGAAAGTAATTTATAACGGTAATCCATTACATTTTAGGCTCGGTAATTTGTAATTGTAATCCATTAAAATTTTCAAGTAACCAGCAAAAGTCTAATATTTGGAAATTACTTTTGTTCCTTCCCATTTTAATCATTCTGAGATTCATTGGTTCATATAAACTCTTTTCAGAATGATGTGGCAGAACTTACTCCACTATCTCACTTGAGTAATAGGGCTGACTAAACATCGCAAAACCATAGCGTCAAATTAAATTCGAACTTGCCCGGTTGATGTCTTGATATTGCCAATAATTTTGCTCCTCGTCAATTCGTATTTCTCCTGGTGTCGCATCGACAAGTATTGCTAAGAAACACCATAGAAAGAAAAAAGGCATCACCTCCATCTTAAAGCAGCAACTATAGAAGTACTCTTGTAATTTCAAGTCGGAGCTTTTATACTCGGAGAAAATTAATTTTTTTACATTTCACGTGTTTAACCTTTCATTGCTTCGCGCGAAGGAAGTCAACAAGGAATTGTTTGTTATGGCTTTTGCGTCATCAGGCATTTAAACATTGTTCATAAGGCCTGTCAAAAGCGTCGAAGCTTCCGTCATTTTTTGGTTTTATTTATTGATAAAAATGGACAATAGGCTGATATCAGCAGCCAGTTTGAATACGCCACCGCTGCTGCAATACATCCAGGGACGCTAAGTCTTTCTGCACGTGCGACAACCTCGCTGGAGCTCTGCACCTGTAGACTGCCGAGCAGCCCCACAAGACTTCTCGTACACTGCCATATGCCTCCTTTGAACTAAAGTTAGGGCGACTTCTGGCATGCGCCGAACGCTTAGTGAGATCGGACTATTATGAAGTCTTACTCAAGCGTCCTATAATTCACGTTGTTCTCTTTCAGTTAGCGGCAAGATTTTGTTTTGTGCCAGGAATAGTTTAGCATATTGCAAAAGCTGAAGACGTTAATAAGAGAAACACGTGTTTAGTACTCGTTTCAAAAAAATACCGTCGTGATTTTCTGTTGGCTAATGTGAAGCAGTATTAGCAGAGTTGTGGCAGCCTAGTTCTTATCACACGCGGATTTTTTTTATTAATTGAGGTTTTACATTGCCTTCTGATTTCTCTTGTAATGCTGCTTCTAGCACCATATACATTTTTTTCTTTTTGGGGGGGGGGGGGGGATATTTTATATCCTCTGATGACATATTAGCTCTTTTTTTTGCAGTTACCAAAAGTGTTAAGCCACGTTGCTGAACTTTCCCCGCTAAATTTAGCGGAAAATGCCCGGACTAACGGACGGACGGCAAAATAAAAAAATTGAGAATGGGAGTTTTCATTAAAATGTATTTCGTACTCTAAAATGACACTCCAGTCTCTTTAATGTCCAACGTTGGGTGACGACTCAAACAATCGAGTTAGTGGGAGTTGTGTCTAGAGACGCGTCAATCAGACGACGCCATTATCCGCATTCCACTCCTGCACCTTCTGTGCAGCAGTAAACACACGTGTGTTTTTACGCACAGAAGCTTGTAAACAGGAGAAGTGTTAACATGTACCAGGTGCCGCGCCTTCAATCTCCAGCTGCCGTGCGGAAGTGAAGATTGGGCGCGGCAGTCTTTGGTTAAATCCTGGTACGTTAAGGCGTATTGGCGTGCCGTCGCGTACCACTACTGTGCAACGCACGTTAAAAACTTATCTAGCACGGGTACCGCACTAGCTAGTTTTTTTCATCTGCAGCGGAGCCGGCTTGCGATGCTGCGTTTCAGCTATTGTCCAGACGCAGCCGATGAGACAAACGCGAGCATGTGTTCCTGCACAGCGCTTGCACTGCACGAGCGCGAGTGCTTGGCAGAGACGCTGAAATCCCGGAGCTCGCTCTCGTAGCATCCGCTGCGCTCACACTGAAAGAGACATTGAAACGAATAAAGAAAAAAACGTTTTTTTTCAGAGGGCATAGATAAAACACTTATACATTTTTTTGTAATTTTTTCACAAAAAAAAAAAAAAATCGCGCAATATTTACGTTGTTAGACGATATTTAGGTGGCAGACACGACACGTTCTAAGCCCCGCCCAATGATCACTGGCCCCGCCCATTACAACTGAACAGAGTGTCGAACCGAAACGTTTATCGGTTCGGTTCCGGTTAGGGGTTCACGGCTTTCGGTTTAGTTCCGGTACAGTTCCGGGGAGCGAAAATAACGGTTCGAACCGGTTTTAACAGGTTTGTACCGGTTCGAATCGCTAAATTGAGAATATATTTTCTGCGTTCTTTTGGCAATAGGCACAATTTCTAAAGTAAAACGAGTAACCATATTGCTTTTCATCTTTCGTAGAACCCACATTTAATTTCAAGGACCAAAAATAAATTGAGGTCTTTAAGTTCGATGAAACAGTAAATTTAAAGCTATATTACCGTATATAACGCAACATATTTTTTTTTTTTTACTGTAGTCGTATATATTATACCTGAATCGAAAAATGCTCAATCTGGTATGTCGCCTAAAATACCCGAGATTATTAGAACTTTATGTCGCTCTATTAAAAGTCGAATCCTCTTGTGCACTTGAACTTAGGAATTAATTACAGTCCATAAGGTGATAACATGGGCACGTCCTTGCCACATATATTCTAATATCTGGTTTACAAAGTACATTTCACAATATATATTATGGCGACGGACTGAGCTAGAAGCAATAATATTTTCGAAGTGTGTGAGTGTACCTTCTATAGAAACTCTGTGCGGCAATAAAAACGCTTGCTTTCCTGACCAATACTGTTTGCACACAGCACCGTGATGCAGGCGAACACTTCTTCAGAAAAGAGTGACGTTCGTACTCATTTCAGGATCTGATCTAATATAGTGCGTATCGAAATTAGCATTTTCGGCATAGCTTGGCGTTTGAGGTTTGTTCTTGACAAGATGCCAGTCAATTCAATTTGAAAATAAACCTCACCCTTGTATTTTTTTGTTTGTTAAACAGAGCAAAGTAGTACCTTATAGTCTACTCGACACCGCAGCTACTTAACTGCTCACTCCCTGACGGCCTGCGTCCGCAATCATCATATTTTTGCCACGCGCCACTGTGTACTTTGTTTTCGTCCAGCCCACAGACACTAAAAACTGTTTTCTATCACATAAAAGAGGCAAAATACTTCTTTATGTTTAGGAAGTTGAATATGCGTCATTAACTCTCAAATTCCGTATAGACGTGCCTATCGAGTATAAAAACGCCGGTAAAGATTTGCAGAGCATATTTTGGAATATTTGGGGGTGCATTTACTTTTTGTCACGAATGACTAGTGATGAGGCGATAATAACTGAAGAAAGTAAACGTTTAATCGGGCGAGTTGTGTCCAAAAGTAAATAAAGGGAACAGAAGAAAGCAGAGCGTCGCGGGCGTCGAAGTCGACGTGAGAGCAGAGTCGAACGCTGGGGCGAAACTGGCTCCGGCGTGCCACGTGGAGCCCCCTTTGTACACGGGTGGGCTCCTGGAACATTCGTAACTGGATCGGACGAGAAGGTTCTTGAATTTAGGCGAATGCCATGTAGAAAGAATAAATAAAAGAAGATTCCGCTCCCTGGAATCGAACCCGGATCCTTCGCGCGACAGTCAAGCACGCTAACCACTCCGCCACGCACGTTTGTTTTGCTTTTTATTTATTTCGTACATAAAAACAGGCTACCCAAGTCTTTTGGGCAGCCGTTGATTAAAAATCTTTCATGTGAGACAGTTTGTCTAATACAGGTGCCCATTCGGGTGCATCATTCCCATTAATATCGTATACAAGCCTCACTTTTGTCACGAAATCAGTGAAACAGATGGGTGCCGTTATCGGGTCGGGCTCAGCATGGCGTACCATAATTCGTGATTTCCAAAACCCAAACACCGCCAAAATCATTATCATATCATAGGGAACGCCGTCATTCGCGTCTACAGGCAGAAAACGAATGGACTGTGCAGTTATACACAATTATTTTTTTCAAAGTGCGTTGAAGCACATCCCACATAAAGACCGCATCCCAACAATCAATGAACACATGCTCAATTGTTTCTGCTTGTATGCATTGCAGGCCATTAACACCCCATGGCACCGTTATACCCCTTTCTCCCATCCACACTTTAACAGGTAATGTGGCGCTGTGCTGTCGAAAAAAAAAAAAAAAAAGACTTAGCCGCAGGGGGTATGGACATCTGTCTAACGCGAACTAGGACATCCTGACCTCGCCCATCCGCATAAAGTGTCCGATACAGCGGTGCAGGAAAAAAACTCTCAATGAGATCACGCGACAGTTTTTGCGGGTTACTGTAGACAGATACTCAAGCGAGTACCGCATCGTCAAAGATTCAAAAGCGCTCACAACTTCTTTAACAATGCCAGCCATTTTTGCTGGGGGACCAATTTGCGAAGAGACAATGAAGGTTGGCAAACGCACCGCCAGTCTTGTCTGCAACATGACCTGAAGAAATGGTTTTTCTGGTCTCTCAAATAAAGGAAACGTGAGACAATGTGTCGAATAAAAAGGTGCGCCAGCCCTAGTCCACCTTGTGAGACTCGTCGAAAAAGATTGTCTCGACGCATTGGTTCCACCACACTTTTCCAGATGAACACTGCGAAGACCATGTGCATTCTTTGAATACTGGTTCGAGCGCAATGTATTACTTGAAGCACATACCACAGCTTTGCGACCAAAAACACATTACAGACAATGGCTCTTGTAAAGATTGACATATAGCGATTGCACCACTTTCTGCTCGTTCTCTTAATTCGCCTGCAACCTGTGTCCAGTATTCTTTACTGTTTTGCATGTGCTCGAGCGGTGCACCCATGTATTTACCGGGCGCGGATCTCCATTGTATTCCTTCGAAAATTGACGACGTTGTGGCCCATTCACCATGCCATACAACAGAATATTTGTTTCTATTGACTACAGCACCTACTGAGTCTCAAAAATTGTTTGTAGTGACAAGGAAAGTGTTTTTACACTTTCCTTGTCGCTACAAAAGACAGCCACGTCATCGGCGTAAGCTAGAACTTTTATTTCCACGTCACCCATATAGAAGCCTCGTACTCGCTTAGGCCGAATAATGCTCAAACACAAGGGCTCTAAATGAAGAGCGAACAAGAGTGGGGACAGTGGGCATCCCTGCCGCATGGAAGAAAGAGCGCTTATTTTACGAGTCAACGAATTGTTTATCACTAACCGCGTCGCGTAACCATTATATTGTCACAAATGACAATTAATGAGGCGTTGATAACTGAAGAAAACTAAACGTTTAATGGGGCGAACTTGTGCCCAAAATAAAGAGAACACAAAGAAGAACAGAGCGTCGCGGGCGTCGAAGTCGGCGTGACAGCAGAGTCGAGCGCTGGGGCGAAACTGACTCCGG